GTCTTCTCCAGCACCACAGTTCAAAGGCATCAATTCTTCGGCGCTCGGCCTTTTTTATGGTTCAGCTCTCACAGCCATACATGGCTCTCTGGATTAGTCAGAAGTAAAGTTTATTGAAGCGTTTGCAAAGGCTGGTGGGCTTCGTTGCAAATAAGAAGCCCCACCTTCTTACAGATTTCAGCATATTTTATACAACCCTATGCCGACGCCCATCCCTCTTCATTTCCCCATTGGCTGAGGTACTTTGAGGTTACAATCTTTGCTGCCCGCCTACTTCCTATTACCCCCCTTCTACAGACCACTACATACTACATACACACTACATACATCACATGTTTATGGTAAATAGGTGATTAGCTATGCTGGGTGTGGTTTTTATTAGGCTAATAAGGGATGGGGGGGAAGAGTTCATGCATTCCTAAAAGATCTCTGCTAAGTGTCACTTTCGACAGGTCAAACTGCTCCAGACTGGTTTTATCTCACCTTGCCTCATCCCAGAGACATCTCCCCCCTCCCAGCTTCTTGCAGCTCCTTGGAGCCCCTTGGTAACCGTGGCGATGCCTCCTGATCTCTCCCTAATTTGACTTAGTTTCAGAAAACAATAGCATAGTGTATCTAGGTATGCTCAGGAGCTATGGTCAGAAAAGGGAAGTTTTGCCTAAGAGGAGAGTGTGGCAACTTCAAATCATTTTTAACTGCCAACAATAACTTTTGGATTCCTCCTTCCCTCTCATTGAGGGGCTTCCAGATAACAAGGAGGAATGGAGCTAACCTCGCTTCGGTGGGTGGGTGGGAGGATGTTCCACAAGGCAGGTGCCGCGGCAGGGAAGGCCCACCTCCTAGGGGCCGCCAGGCGTAGCTCCGAGAGACGGGACCCGCAGCTTGCCTTCTCTGCCATACCTGATGGGGCGAGGAGATTGGGGAGAGGCTGTTTGCCACAAAGCTCGGAACCCTTTCCCCCGGGTCCTGCCCAATAAGACCCCGAAGACGAGAACTGGCTGTTCCTCTTTTTACTGAAGCACTTCAAGAAAAAGGACCCCGACTCCCTAAAGGAAGAGGAGCCCCCAGCAAACTTTTGCATCTATTCTTATACTTGTTGAAAAAAAAAAGGGAATACACAGCTTTGGTTACATCGAGATAAGAAAATAGGTATAACTGGTTGCAATGTTGCGCAGACGCACCTGATTCCATGTTACATGTGAACATCCCATAATAAGCTTAGCACGTTCGATGTTTTCTAAAATTCCCGCCTTTGGGGGGTGTGTTTTGCTGTGCTAATTAAGCAAAGGTTACCTCTCAGTCGAGCCTCTAGCTTTGCTGCATCTCTAAGGCTCCCCTTATCTCTAACACTCCTCTTTCATGCCAAGCCACCTGGTTGATTTTCACGTGGCAATGTCTTCTCTTTTGTCCTGTATGGCCAAACACATTTTTCTTGGAGAGTTTTGCACGCTGTATTTAGGAACGCGTGAAAAAGCAGTGGGATCCGTTAAAAAAAAAAATCTTATTCCCTCACTTATATACTCCGCCATGGCTGTTACTGGAATATTAACTGAAGGTCCAAAGCTAGAGTTATTTTCTGTACTGATTTTACACAGCAGCTTGGATAGATGGATGGCACAGTGGTTTTCAAGCCTGGCAATGCTGGGTGGGGAATTCTGGATGTAGGTTCACAAATGCTGGGGAATCCTGGGAGTTGAAGCCCACTCATCTTAAAATTGCCAAGTTTGAAAAACACTGGGATAAAACGATACAATTGAGAAGTCATAGGAAAAAATGACTGAAAAGAAGCCCGGAACTTTAGGATGTGTACCGCTCTACTATCATATCTCTATGGTCTTCTACTTATCTCTATGGCCGCAAAGACGGCAATCCCCATCACTTTATTTTCTAACTTCTCTTGAGGCGCCGTTATTGACCAAGTATCGTCAGACGCTAGCAGTGTAACAAGCTACACGTTCATGGACACAAGGAGTTCAAATTAAGCGACTGCATGTACACAAATTTGAAATATTGAGGAGTCGCCTAAACCACTGACTGCGCCTGTCTCTACAGCCTTTCTCCCCATCAATCAACGCGAGGGATGTCTCTAGGGTCCCAGCATGCTTTGCGCGGCCCAACTGAGAGGCGAGAACGCCGTCTTAAAGGAGAAGAGAGTTTTACTTCCCATCGTGCTTTGCGCACTCCGAGAAAGAAAACGCAGGGCCCGAGTCGAGAGGGGGCAGTCCATTTCCCAGCTTGCCCTGCGCGGGCGACCTCATGCCGCGAGCATGTCTCAAAGACGCCAACGGCAAAAGAATCAGGGCAGAGGAAGACTCCATTTCCCAGCATGCCTTAGGGGTGCGCTCGCTTTGTCTCCCCCTCTCGGGCTGAGGGAGACCGCGCCATTCGCCCCCGGGCTAATGCACGTCACAAGAGGAACCACAACAGCTCCCTTCGCGAGACGGCGAAAGGCGCTGCAGGCTGGAGCCGGGGCCTCGAAAAAAGGCTGCCTTGCCCAGCGTGCCTTACGCCGCTGCCTGCTGGGAGCGGAGGGCGGTTGAGGGCGGCACGTGATCCCGCTTCCCAGAGGGCCTCGCGGAGGAGACGAGAGGCCGGCGGACTCCATTTCCCGGCGTGCCCCGCGCCCCCGTCCGGCTGAGGCGCTCTTTCTCGTCCCTTCGCGCTCGGGAGTCGCCGCCGCCGTCGTCGTTATGCTGGAGGAGGCCGGCGAGGAGGTGCTGGGCTCGGTGCTGC